TCTCGGCTCACCGCAACCTCTGCCTCCCAGGTTCAGGCAATTCTCCTGCCCCAGCCTCCTGAGTCGCTGGGATTACGGGCACGCGCCACCATGCCCAGCTAATTTTTTGTATTTTTAGTAGAGACGGGGTTTCACCATGTTGACCAGGATGGTCTCGATCTCTTGACCTCATGATCCACCCGCCTCGGCCTCCCACAATGCTGGGATTACAGGCTTGAGCCACCGCGCCCGGCCTATTATTATTTATTTTTTAATTTATTTTTTAACTTTGAGACAGGGTCTTGCTCTGTTACCCAGGCTGAAGTGCAGTGACACAATAATGGCTCATTGCAGCCTCAACTTCCCCAGCTCCAACAATCCTCCCACCTCAGCCTTTCAAGCAACTGGGACCACAGGCATGCACCACTACTCCTGGCTAATTTTTTGTGTACTTTTGGTGGAGAGAGGATTTCGCCGTGTTTCTCAAGCTGGTCTCAAACTCCTGAACTCAAGCAATCCACCTGCTGCAGCCTCCCAAAATGCTGGGATTACAGGTGTGAGCCATGTGTGCCCTGCCCATGTACTTCTTTATTACCATATTAAATAAAAGACAGCACTTTTTTTACAATTAATTTTTTTTTCCTATAAGAGATGGAGTCTCACTTTGTTGCCCAGGCTGGTCTTGAACTGCTGGGCTCCAGCACTCCTCCCACCCCCACCTCTCAAAGTGCTGGGATTATAGGAGTGAACCAACACCACACCAGGCCCAAGACAACACACTGAAATACAGGTTAAGCTGAAGTTCAATTTTAATAAATAAGGACATTAGTACAAAGGATGTTGTTGCTTGGCTTCAATGAGAACTTCAAACTTTATAGTCAGTCAAGACAACATATGTGACACTGGACTTAAGCAAAAGATATGGCTGGGCACGGTGGCTCACGCCTGTTATCCCAGCACTTTGGGAGGCCAAGGCGGGTGGATCACTTGAGACAGGAGTTCGAGACCAGCCTGGCCAATATGGTGAAAACCCATCTCTACTAAAAATACAAAAATTAGCCAGACATGGTAGTGTACACTTGTAATCTCAGCTACTTGGGAGGCTAAGGCAGGAGAATTGCTTGAGCCTAGGAGGTGGAAGTTGCAGTGAGCCAAGATCAAACCACTGCACTCCAGCCTAGGCAACAGTGCGAGACTCCATCTCAAAACAAAAAAAAGATACATTTTTTCCCAAGGCCACAGATCACCTGATCATCTGAAATCTATCCCCTGGACTACTGAAACCTGGAAGGATAATTTTCTTTTTTTTTTTTTAATCAGTCTCCATAGAGACTGTCAAAAATTGCCAGTGACTGTATTGCAAGTCATCACAGCGGGGTATTGGGAAGTTTTCAATTAGCAATAATCACACCTCAGATAAACCTCATTGGCTACAATACTGCCACTGCGCAAAGCTTCACCATTTTTTCTTTTTTTTTTGAGATAGAATTTCGCTCTTGTTGCCCAGGCTGGAGCGCAGCCTTGGCTCACTGCAACCTCCACTTCCCAGGTTCAAGCGATTCTCCTGCCTCAGCCTTCTGAGTAGCTGGGATTACAGGCATGCGCCACCATGCCCGGCTAATCTTGTGTTTTTAGTAGAGACAGGGTTTCTCCATGTTGGTTAGGCTAGTCTCGAACTCCTGACATCAGGTGATCCACCTGCCTTGGCCTCCCAAAGTGCTGGGATAATAGGCGTGAGCCACCGTGCCCAGCCAAATGGAGGTTTTGGTCAGTCCAAGGTGACCTGGGAAAGGACTCAGTGGAGTAAATACCCCCAAGTCAGTGTCTTCCTCCAGCTGTTTTCCTGCCAGGGTGCTCCATCAGCCAAAATCAGCTAGAAGCCAGACGCACCCTTTGATGTGGTCTGTATAGGTTAGTCTCCTTGGGCAAAGACCTGAGTGGGAGAGAAACAATGTTGGGGGAGTGGGTGGCAAGCAGAAAACATTCAGGACACGTGGGCGCATGCACACCCACACACAGGCACATAAGCTTCCTGGCCAGTGCATTCTCTTCCTGTAGGCACATTCTATGGGGCTCAATTCTCATCAGCAATTCTCCTGGACAGCATGGAATCATAACAAGGACCCTTAGCCACATGTGCCATTCCCTAAGGGGGTCTAAGCTCATGGGGTTCAAACAGGTTCATTTATTGAGCCAGCTCGGTATTCTCTTCCTGATCATTTGGCTGGATACTAACAATCTTGGCTTCAGTGACTCACTCCCCTTTCCCTGACTCCAAGGCTGATCAATCTAGCAGTCCACTGAACTATTCTTTTTTTTTTTTTTTTTTTTTTTTTTTCAGATGGAGTCTTGCTCCGTCGCCCAGGCTGGAGTAAAATGGAGCAATCTAGTATCACTGCAACCTCCACCGCCCGGGTTCAAGCAATTCTCCCACCTCAGCCTTCCGAGTAGCTGGGATTATAGGCATAAGGCACCACACCCAGCTAATTTTTGTATTTTTAGTAGAGAAAGAGTTTCACCATGTTGGCCAGGCTGGTCTGGAACTCCTAACCTCAGGTAATCCATCCACCTTGGCCTCCCAAAGTGCTGGGATTACAACAGGTGTGAGCCATCCACTGACCCATTTTTTTAAGTTTTACTTTATCTGAGACAGAGTCTCGCTGTGTTTCCCAGGCTGGAGTACAACAGTTCCATCTCGGCTCACTGCAAACTCTGCCTTCTCAGTTCAAGTGATTCTTCTGCCTTAGCCTCCCGAGTAGCTGGGATTACAGGTACCTACCACTATGCCCAGCTAATTTTTGTATTTTTCGTAGAGAGGGAGTTTCACCATGTTGGTCAGACTGATCTCGAACTCCTGACCTCAGGGGATCCACCTGCCTCGGCCTCCCAAAGTGCTGGGATTACAGGCATGAGCCACCTCGCCCAGCCACTGACCTATTTTTAAACTATGTTATTATCTTTAGCCAAGGCACTACAAGCCTTGCAGGATTGGGAGCCACTATTTCTTTAGGGCAGTGCCTATCAAACATGAGTGTGTATCAGAAGCATCTGAGGCACTTTTTAAAAGCTATTCTTGGCCCTACTCCTAGAATTTCTGATTCAGTAAGTCTGGTCAGAGGCCCCCAGAATTGCATTTCTACCATCTTTCCATGTGATGCTGGTGGAAAGATCACTCTTTGAGAACCACTGCTTTAAGGAAATTAGTCATATCCACTTGGATCTAGACTTTGCAGTTGGTCAAAGTGATCTATTTCCTTACTTCCAAGTTCTCAATGGATTCCTTGTCACAGCCTCCATAACGTGCCCTTGAACCTCTCTGTGGTCAAGGGGGCTGGGTCACTGAGTTTGAGTGGAGATGTATTTGGGGTTTTTTTGTTTTGTTTTGTTTTTTGTTTTTTAGATAGAGTCTTGCTCTGTCATTCAGGCTGGAGTGCAGTGGAGCGATCTCAGCTCATTGCAACCTACATCTCCCAGGCTCGAGTGATCCTTCCACCTCAGCCTTCCGAGTAGCCAGGATTACAGGTGTGCGCTACCACACCTGGCTAATTTTTTGTTGTTGTTTGTTTGCTTGTTTTGAGACGAAGTCTCGCCCTGCTGCCCAGGCTGGAATGCAGTGGCACAATCTCGGCTCACTGCAACCTCTGCCTATCAGGTTTAAGAAATTCTCCTGCCTCAGCCTCATGAGTAGCTGGGAGTACAGGTGTGTACCACCATGCCCAGCTAATTTTTGTATTTTTGGTAGAGACGGGGTTTACCATGTTGGTAAGGCTGGTCTTGAACTCCTGACCTCGTGATCTGTCTACCTCAGCCTCCCAAAGTGCTGGGATTACAGGTATGAGCCTCTGTGCCCGACTTTTTTTTGTATTTTTAGTAGAGATGGGGTTTCACCATGCTGGCCAGGCTGGTCTCAACTCCTGATCTCAAGTGATCCACCTACCTCAGCCTCCCAAAGTGCTGGGATTACAGGCATGAGCTACCATCCCCAGCTGGTGGAGGTGCCTTTGTAGGTTCCAGGAGAAAACTTCCCCTTCACCGTCTGAAGACTCAATGACATTAATTGACAAAAGGCATATTAATAGAGAAAAGACATACCAATTTATTAACATGCATGGAGGTGGGGGGAATCACAGAGTGAATACCCAATAACCCTGTGTGATACAGAAGCTTATATACCCTTTCTCATAGGGGAGAAAGGAGATGGAGGATGTTTTCTTTTGAGGACAGTAAATCATTAGGAAGAATTAATGGCCAGATGGACCTTGGAAGTAGGAGGCAGACTTAAGAAAGTAAGATGGCCGAGCATGGTGGCTAGCACCTGTAATTCTAGCACTTTGGAAGGCTAATGTTGGCAGATCACCTGAGGTTGAGAGTTCAAGATCAGCCTGACCAACAAGGAGAAACCCCTTCTCTACTAAAAATACAAATTAGCCAGGCGTGGTGGCACCTGCCTGTAGTCCCAGATGCTCAGGAGGCTGATGCAAGAGAATCACTTGAACCCAGCAGGTAGAAGTTGCAGTGAGCCAAGATCGCTCCATTGCATTACAGCCTAGGCAACAAGAACAAAACTCCATCTCAAAAAATAAATAAATAAATAAATAATAATAAGGTAAGAGGTGGAGTTGTATGGGAACAAAGGCTGTTTTATGCATTATATATTATGCAAATAAAAATTTCCAGGTAAACTCTTCTTTTTTCTTTTGAGACGGAATCTTGCTCTGTTGCCCAGGCTGGAGTGCAGTGACACAATCTTGGCTCACTGCAATCTCCACCTCCCAGGTTCAAGAAATTCTCCTGCCTCAGCCTCCTGAGTAGCTGGGACTACAGGTGCACACCACCATGCCTGGCTTTTTTGTATTTTTCTCAGTAGAGACGGGATTTCACCACGTTGGCCAGGCTGGTCTCAAACTCCTCACAGTGTGATCCGCCCACCTCAGCCTCTCAAAGTGCTGAGATTACAGGCTTGAGCCACTGTACCTGGCCTATTTAAAATTATTATTTTTCTTTAAGATGGAGTTGCACTCTGTTGCCCAGGCTGGAGTGCAGTGGCAAGATACTGGCTCACTGCAACCTCCACCTCCTTGGTTCAAGAAATTCTCCCACCTCAGCCTTCTGAGTAGCTGGACTACAGATGTGCACCACCAAACCCAGATAATTTTTGTATTTTTAGTAGAGACGGGGTTTTGCCATGTTTGCCAGGCTGGTCTCGAACTCCTGATATCAGGTGATCTGCCCACCTTGGCCTCCCAAAGTGCTGGGATTAAAGGCATGAGCCACTGTGCCCAGACTGTAGTCTCTATATTTTAAAAAAAGGCTGGCTTGGTGGCTCACACCTGTAATCCAAGCACTCTGGGAGGCCGAGGCAAGTGGATCACGACATCAAGAGATCGAGACCATCCTGGCCAACATGGTGAAACCCCGTCTCTACTAAAAATACAAAAAAATTAGCTGGGTGTAGTGGTGTGCACCTGTAGTCCCAGCTACTCGGAGGGCTGAGGCAGGAGAATTGCTTAAACCCAGGAGGCGGAGGTTGCAGTGATCTGAGATCGTGCCACTGCACTCCAGCCTGGCGACAGAGCAAGACTCTATTTAAAAAAAAAAAAAAGATAAAAAATTAGTCCCGCGTGGCTGGGCGCAATGGATCATGTATATAATCCCAGCACTTCAGGAGGCCAAGGTGGGTGGACCACCTGAAGTTAGGAGTTCGAGACCTGCCATGGCCAACATAATGAAACCCCCTCTCTACTCAGAAATACAGAAATTACTGGGCTTGGTGGTTGGAGGCTGTAACCCCAGCTACTTGGGAAACTGAGGCAGGAGAATTGCTTGAACCTGGGGGGAGGAGGTTACAATAGTGCCACTGAACTCCAGCCTGGGCAACAGAGAAAGACTCCATCTCAAAAAACAAAACAAAACCTAGGCATGGTGGCACATGCCTGCAGTCCCAGCTACTCAGGAGACTAAGGTGGGAGGATCACTTGCTCCTGGGAGGCTGAGGCTGCAGTGAGCCATGACTATGCCACTGCATTCCATTCTGGGCAACAGATCAAGACCTGCCTCAAAAAAAAAGAAAGAGAGGAAAAGTCTATTTGGGTATGGTGCTGACACTGAATACCTTCTCTCTGGTTGTTGATCTGGTTATTTAATATGATCTCTAGGGAGTAGATCTTAAGACAACTCCATTTCTTTTGCAAAGAAGCTTTTTCAGTGAGATAAGGAAATTCCAGCAAGTGTGGTAGGACCTTGATTCTGGAGCAGCTTCTAAGGCTTCTCAGCATTTCAAAGCACCAGTCTTTGGTTTATCATTTTCAGAGCCCCAGCACTTTCTTGCATGTCTATTCTTTCCCCCTTATCTGTGTTTAGGCCTCGAGTTTCCTTCTCCACCTGCTTGTCCTTCTATATACCCTTTAGTCTTCACTTTTTTTTTTTTTGGCAACAGGAATCTCACTTTTGTTGCCT